GAGGAGGCTGCAATGCTTGGTAAGAAATGTATGCATTATCCTGCCCATGCAATTGTAACCCCTCTGTACAGTATGTTCACAAATAAAATAAAATTAAAAAAAAAAAACAGTAAAAGCCAAAAGAGTAGATTAGAAGTGACTGGAAAGGATCTCACATGTCGGGAACCCAGGCAATTCAAAGAAGTAAGAGTGAAAAAAGGCAACTAATTTTGGAAATACTTTTTCTGCACAGGCTTTCACTACATGGGCCACTGAATTAGATATACATGGAAAGGGTGGAATAGTGTCAAAATGGCTACAAGCACAGGTTTTGGTTTGTTTTTTTTTCCATCATTTGGCTTGAACTCAGGGCCTGGGCACTGTCCCTGAGCTCTTTTACTCAAGTATAGCACTCTACCATTTTGAGTCCTAGCACCACTTCCTGTTTTCTAGTGGTTAATTGAAGATAAGAGTCTCAAGGACTTTCCTGTCTGGTCTAGCTTTGAACCACAATTCTCAGAGCTCAGTCTCCTGAGTGGCTAGGATTATAGGCATGAGCCACCAGTGGTGAGCTACAAGCACAGGTTTTAAAAATCAAACATGACTCTGTACATCACCTCTATAAAAACAATTAAAAAGTCAGATATGATTTTGTAATTGTAACCCCTCATATATCATCTTTATAATAACAATTTTTAAAAAGCCAGGAAGAAAGCCGGGTGCTTGTGGCTCAACAGGGCGCTGGTGGCTCACGCCTGTAATCCTAGATACTCAGGAGGCTGAGATCTGAGGATCACAGTTCAAAGCCAGCCTGGGCAGGAAAGCCCATGAGATTCTTACCTCCAATAAACCACCAGAAAACCGGAAGTGTTGCTATGGCTCAAGTAGTAGAATGCTCACCTTGAGCTGAAAAGCTGAGCAACAGAGCCCAGGCCCAGAGTTCAAGCCCCACCACTGACAAAAAAAAAAAAAAGCCAGGAAGAAGAATCAGATGGATCTCATGCTAGTGTATGTCTTAGGGCAAGTTATCTAACTCATGTCTCACCTTTACTACAAGGTAAAGATAAATAAAGTATGCTCAGCCTAGCACTATGGATCACACAATCCTAGCAACTCAGGAGGCTGAGATCTAAAGAAGAAGGTACACTTATTGCCTGAGAATTGAGATGGT